AATTGTGTGTAATTGTGTGCAGACTTTAAGCGAATACTACCGGCGCTGAGTAGCTTTCCCTGAAGGAGATCGCCAAACGGCTCAAACATAGGGTTTGTTTGGTGACCACTGGACAGGCATGTCGTCGCCAATACAGTGCCGATAATTATTAATGACTTCATTGTAATTGAAAGCTTATATCCATTTCATACACCTTTCTCTCAACTCTTATATACTCTGTAATCACTTCCCAAATGTGTTGTCATTCAATTTGAGAGGTATTTCCAGTGATACCGGATTGTCATTGAATGCAAATAAAGGTTAGAAGTCATCAACTCTTGGAGGTTACGGTCTGATTGGGTCTAACCCTAACTCTTAAACCAAATCCATAGAAACTAATGTTAAAAGACTTTCGTTGAGTAAACTTCCGTCAGTTTAATCGCCGATTGCATTGAACTCCACCAATCAATAGATTGTTATCGTAGGAAAAATACTTGTAAAATATTTTTATTGATAATAATAAAAAATAAATTCATTTATTGAATAATTAAAAACCTGGGCAAAGGGTTGACAGACAGAAATCTCAGATTCTGGTTTAAAAATCTATACTTGCTCATATTTCAGTTTATGCTCTAATCTACTAAATTATTAGTATTATACTTAATCTACTTTTTTTATCTGCTGTAAAAAATAAAATGTTAAACACAGTCATATGATTTGTATTTAGATCCAGATTTGAACAATTATGTCTAATTAATTCTAAATGTATGTAATTGTAATATTAATTTTATAACAAATTATAATACAGTAGTTGAATATGGCTGTGAGCCAGCTCATTCAACATGTTTTAAGATTCATAAACTTTCAAAGATAGTGAATGGCAATAATGATAGACACAAACAATGCGGTCAAAGTGGGACCCGGAGACTGACCAGTGTTGTACTAGCGAACAAAACTGTATTAAACAAAATGAACTAGCTTATTTGTTTTATTAAATACTTACCGGCAGTTGGATTGACATATCAAACAGTGGACATTTTGTGGTGGCGTTACGAGGCAACCGTATGTAACCTCCTTCGCCCCAGTCGTCGCCCCAAGAGTTCTTGACAATCCAGTAGTGTCTGTCCAGCTCTTTATCATATCCGTAACCGACCACAAGAACCGCGTGTCTATAAGAGCCCTCACACTGGTGGGTGAGCACTCCCTGGCTATATATAGGCCAGTCAATGCTCGCGTGTACGCCCACGTAAGCCGGACCGTTATCGCGCACGAGACTCATGAGCGAAAGCCATTGAGAGTCTTGGCTTTTAGGATAGTTTACACTTACTTCTCCTATTGTCGCCACCCGTTTCGACTCCCTTTCCCGATTACATATACCTTTCTATTGGATAATACGCACTCGTTGTTAGATGACAAGACAATAGAGAAATCTGATATGTTTTAAGCATTTTATGATCATTTAAGTAATTTTGTAAAGTAGTAAGTTTAGTTAAATAAAATTATAATATTGTCGAATCAGTTTAACTGTTTCGTTTAGGTTAGTTCAAGCCTAAAAGTTGATTTGTGAAACTTTTAATTTTAAGATTATAAACAATAGATTATTTCTACTGTGTTATTGATTACCTTGGCAGTATATGGATAGTTTTTCCATGATGTCAAACCATTTTTTTTAATGTAGGATAAAATTGGACCTTCAGATACTCCTTCTTTACAGTCGAGCATTTGTTGAGTGCTAAGCGTTGTGACTCCGTGGCCACTACGGGCCCAATAACTCTCTACCAGTGCTGCCATTGCGAACAATGCACAGGATCCACAACTACCCTGAATATAAAAATTACACTACTGTTACAGTATATATTAATATTGTATATCATTAAATCTTTACAGTCAATCAATTACAGTAGTATTTGAACTACCGGTAAAAAGTAAATATCCAAATCTATAAAAGTCACTTGTATACATATCGGCCTACAATTGTTTACAACTTAATGAACATTATGTTTTATATAATTATTTTTACCAAATTAAATTCAAAATAAAATATCATATTCCATTATTAAAATGATAGAGTATATTAAATTGTACCTGATCCTGAACAGGACCAATTACTCCTTGATGGCGCCAATCGAATGACCAGCTCTTATCGTCGGTGTGGGAGTCAGCAGAAGCCGGGTTGGACTGATTGTGAGCTATGGGTCGCTTCATTACGAACGTGCAATTCATGTGTCTCTCTCTAAACTCCTTAGGAGTCAAATCCGCGTATTCATTGACCCGTAATGTATACGAATACTTGCCGTCCAGAGCTTTCAGGTTGTGTCCGTACACTCGCAACACGTTGTCCCGGAATATCTGTTCCCTCCGACGGTCCTCTTCACTCGATTCATACGATTCGCTGAATTTGATCTTAAATTCTTTGAAAGAATTCTCCAAATTCTGCTTATCGTCCAAATATTCCTTTCAAATAAAAATAGTTCACATAAACTCTATATACTAGTCAAACATAAACATGGATATTATAGTACATACTTTAAAATCATCATATGTTTTATCAATGGTGCGAGATGATTTTAGTAATTTGCCTTGCAAGAAATCGCCAAACGGTGCGTACGGGTTGTACTTATCACCTTGGTTAATAATTTGCATTTTTAATCATAAGTTGTAGATATAATGTAAATTATAGTTTTGAATTAAAAAAGTTAATAATCTCATATATAGTAATATGAATTACCAAAATGCCAATATGCTAGTACAATTAATCCAGCAATTACTAGAATACCAATAACTAAAGAAATAAACTATTAATTAAATAACCTTTCACAATTTTTAAACAATATCACATACTACCTGTAATACTGCCAAAAACTGCTCTTTTCATTATCAAATTGTTTAATTATTCAAGCAAAATTTAGAACCGATATTAATTCTACAAAATCAGATGCATACTTAAAATGATTACATAGATAACAGTAATATTTAACAAAATTTATTAAACAATTTCATACATTAATCGTAATAAACAACACTTTATAATGAGTTATTTTCTGCAATTATATCACGTCTAAGTAATAATACACTACTGTATGTTCATAATCTTTAAACTATAAACATAGTATTAAAGTTTAATAATTAAACAATAATATTTACGCAAATTATAACCAAATCTATTGAATATTTTAATTTTTGTATTGACTGCAAATATTCTGCAGACATATACTGTAGCTATTTTATTACTGGCCTTGTCTTTGCATTTCCACATACTTTGCAAAAAATAAAAAAGTTTCTGAACATTATTGTCGCCTATGTTTGACAAACAGACAGTAATAACAAGTTATGCTAATTTAAGCTAATTTAATAAATAAATCAAACATTTATCACTCAATTAGGTTTTATTCAAAGAACATATTTTCCTTTATTACTAAAACATTTTAAAACATTACAAGAGTCTGGATATGCCTTACAATTAAAAAACTTGATAGCATTAAAACACCTGGACACAATGGTCGGCAACATGGCACCTATTGCCGGCATCCTTGAGCATATAGATGAACCCGCCGTCTCCCCAGCCGTCTTTACTTGATCATATTTCTTATTAAGCTCTAATCACCTAAATTATTAGTACTGAATCTACTTTTTTATCTGCTGTAAGAAAGTAAAATGTCATGATTTGTATTCAGATCCAGATATTAAACAATTTATGTTTGATAAACTAATTAATGCTTAATGTATGTCCAGTACTATTAATTTTATAACAAATTATAATACAGTAGTTGAATATGGTTGTGAGCATTTAACATATTTTCAGATTCATATACTTTTAAAGAGAGTGAATGGAAATAATAACACAAACAATGCGGTCAAAGTGGGACCTGGAGACTGACCAGTATTGTACTAACAAACAAAAATGTATTAAACAAAATGAACATTTACTTTATTTTATTAAATATTTACCGGCAGTTGGAATGATATCTCAAACAGTGGACACTTGGGGTGGCGTTACGAGGCAACCGTATGTAACCCCCACACCCAGTCGTCTCCGTAAGATTTCTTGACAATCCAGTAGTGTCCGTCCAGCTCTTTATCATATCCGTGACCGACCACAAGAACTGTGTGCTCGCAATCAACTGCATGCGCGTGGCCTCACACGGGTGGCTGAGCACTCCCTCGCCGTATATCTATTCAATATTTTAATTATTGACTCAATTTTACTAGTGTATAACCAGCGTATAATAACTAGTCAAGTAAAACTGATTAATATCCGTGAATTTTACATTAACTAGAGTAAAAATAATTTTTTATATAGATTTTGTAATTTTCGGGATTATGTATTTCGGGATTTTGAATTTCGGAATTTCGTTTTTTGGGATTTTGATTGTCGGGATTTTGATGTACTCCCGTAACTGATCCTGCACAGGTCCAATTACTCCTTGATGGCGCCAATCGACTGACCCGCGCTTATCGCCGGTGTGGGAGTCAACAGAAGCCGATTTGGACTCATTGTGAGCTATGGGTCGGTTCAGTGCGAACGGACAACGCGTGTGATTCTGTCTAAACTCCTCAGGAGTCAAATCCGCGTCCACACCGACCCGTAATGTATACGAATACTTGCCGTCCAGAGCTTTCAAGTTGTGTCCGTACACTCGCAACATGTTGTCCCGGAATATCTGTTCCCTCTGGCCGTCCACTTCGCTTGATTCATATGATTTGTTGAATTCGTACTTAAATTCTTTGAAAGTTTTCTCTAAATTCTGCTTATCGTCCAAATATTCCTTTCAAATGAAAATAGTTTACATAAACTCTGTATACGAGTCAAACATGGATATTATAG